TCAATCAGAATAAAGGACACGCCATTATTCAAGCATACAGCATAGTCAGTCTCATACACATATACACATGTTCCTGTTGTAAATCGAATTCATTCATTCATTCATGTGAAAGAAGAGTTGAGATGTTTAGTTAGTTAACAGGATTTCTCGTTGTATGTACATCGTTGAGAGACATCATAATACATTTTTTAAGTTTGTCTGAGATTTCATTAATTAGTATTTTTAATTAGTATTATCATCGTTAAAAGTGAATATACAGTTATATCAGAAAGAATAGACATAACATTCCCTTAATCAGACTGCTGTAAAATGCATGGCTTCTTATCAGAAATCAAACTAGTGGTCGGTCCTTCGGCGTCAAGCTCAACAATGGCGTCTCAAGAGTGCAGATGCACGAGTGAACCGCAGCTGACCAATCATAAAAATGAGGAATGTTTGCTCGAAGAATGATGATGTATATTGACAAGAAAATGCTTGATGAAAACGCACTAATATTCAGGTTATCTTTCTTTGACATGGCTTAAAAACACGTCCTAGTTATATTGAGGAGTGCCAGTTGCTAAGTTAGACTAGTTTCTGTACATGCATTCACCGAGATGACTACAGATAAACTGTTTTTTTTTCCGGTGGATCGTTTATCTCCCTCATCCTGCTTGAAGTCTTCCAAACACAGACCTCGGTTGAATTTATCATGGTTTCTAGCAAGAGGATAGACGACCGCTTAGCAGGAAAACGTGGAAAATAAAACAAACTAAAGTAAATAACATCAACTATAAATTTATCCCTAGTCGTAACCATAAGCTTAATCCTGACCCCAAAACTAACCCTAACCTTAATCCTAACCCTTATCCAAATCGTAATTCTAACCCTAATACTAATTATAACCCTGATCCTAACCCTAACGAGTTATTAACACATTTTCCAAGCAGTACTTTTACAAAAAACGTGATCTGGGTGAAATTTCGCTGCTTAGCCGGTGAATAGCGTTGATATTTCAGCTATGACAATGACAGATGCCGCACTGGCCAACGACTACTAGCATGCGTTCAAGATCATTGGAGCGCTCCGTTCACACTCCTGGGACGACGCTATACTTTTGGACTTCGCCGATCCTTCTTTATTCTTACATATGATTTAAGCCAGGAAAAAAAACAAGATCTGTTCGTGACTGGTATTTCAGAGCACACCGTTTGTCGGTATTGAGCATAGAATCAATGTCTAATAAAGCCAAAGTCAGGGCCTTTTGAGAGTTGACCTTCAAGTACCGATTAGACACACAAGGAATGTTATGAAATATCATTCCAAATCAATTCATGCCTATCTTTCCGAACATGGAGTGGATTGGTACAGTATTCTACTCAATTACTGGGACCTGTTTTCTGCAAATCTCTACTGTTAAGTTGGATTATGCCTTTCAAAAATTAAAATTTCGTTAAAATTGAACCTACAGTCAGTCACCTGGGTGAATGGGTGTGTCGCGCATGGTACGAATCCTCTATAGATCACCTGTTTACCGACTAGAAGATATTCTTGCAACACATAAACTACAACTGTACAATGTGTAATATCAAGTATTCAATACTTTTTTAGTGCATTTTTCAACAGGTATGCAATGTTTTTTCGCACCTGAATTCTGATTGGTTGCTCAAGGTCACTATGATCTTGGCCGTGAGGTTTCATCTGCTTAAGGCTGTTGTTGTGCAACTGGGTTATGGCAGACTGCGATCGTTTCTTTGCAGCTAAGTTGATTAATATACTCGGTGAATCTTTGACATTCGTCCGGAGTCAATTCGTATAAGGTAGAGAGGACCTTTGATTAATAAATATTCCGCTTCAGTTCGGGCATACGTGATCTGATAGAATCAGCGCAATTCACTGCATGACGTCGAAGGGACTTCGTATTTGTGTATATATAGAAATGATTGCGTCTCAGTGATTTCTAGAACCACTTTGGATACTGATGATTAGCAACGCAAACCTCGGAAAAACCAACTTTTGTATTCCCCACAGCAAGCCTGGTACGTCAGTGGCATAGCGGTTAGGACGCTCGCCGACCATGCACATGGTCCGGGGTTCGATACCCGGCCACAGACGCACTCCTTGACCTTGCTAAGCCAGAAATAATTCTGGTAAAGAGGAAAGGTTGGGCATGAGGCTAGCAACCCCATCCTGTAGAAATAAACACTGCTACAGGAACTTCAAACCAATAGCTTGAAGCCCTATGTTCCACTGGGGAACGTGAAGGAAAAAAACAAAAAAAACAGCAAGCCTGACAGAGTACCGTAGAAACACATTGAGTTCTTCCTTGACTGTCGAGAGGTCCTTGATACGATTTAATTCATGGATAATCCTCATCCAGGCATTAATGTTTTGTTTTCATTAATTTCATCACTATCATCAGTATCCAAAGCGGTTCTGGAAATCACTGAGACGCAATCATTTCTATATATACACAAATACGAAGTCCCTTCGACGTCATGCAGTGAATTGCGCTGATTCTATCAGATCACGTATGCCCGAACTGAAGCGGAATATTTATTAATCAAAGGTCCTCTCTACCTTATACGAATTGACTCCGGACGAATGTCAAAGATTCACCGAGTATATTAATCAACTTAGCTGCAAAGAAACGATCGCAGTCTGCCATAACCCAGTTGCACAACAACAGCCTTCAGAAGATGTGAAACCTCACAGCAAATTTCTTGACGAACCCACAAAGTTTGTGTTGAATTATATTAAGTGTTGATTTTCAGGGATTTGATTGATAAACTAAAGCGAGGAACAGCTGACTAGGTAAGTACTTCTGATATAGTTCTTAACGCTTCTCTAACTGATGTCAATTCATGATAAATCCTGTAACCAATTAAATCTCTCCTTTATGGATAAGATTTTATATTGATAAATCACAGTGTTTTACAGTAGTATTAACTGATAACCAAGTTGAGGCACTCAGGCATAACCCAACCCCTCCTCTTACAGTTTGTCAACTCGCGTATTTTACCTATTCTTCTTTACTGTTCACCCTTATTCTTTCCTGGATTACTTAAAAAAGACTATGTTATACTTCGTAGAACTCTGAAGACTGTCAGTAGGCCGAGTGGTATACTAACATGCTAGAATTTTCAAAATGATTCGACAATACTGTTTGAAACAAACTCACTGTTACTATTAATATTATATTTAACACTCTCAATTCATGCTTCACATATTTTTGACTTTATATCGTAAACGTGGACAAATTTCTCTGGTTACTTTTGTTTTAATTTTATTTATATTTTGAATGAATCAGATGTAAGATATTGTGAGGAATGCTGAGAATTCCATTCTGTATTATAATTATTGATTTTGGAATAAAGTAAATTATTATTGTTATGAATGAACTCTCTAGCACACTTTATTGCCACTGATAATCATATCAAGTCACTCACTCACACAACTTTTTACTTCATTTATATACTTGACTGGAATTGACTAGATATTTCATTAAAAATCAATATGGGATAATGCACATTCAGAAATAATAATAATACGAGTGTTATTGATCAAATACAATCAGATGGGAAATTAGACGAGTGTTTTTTTAATAGTCAAAATAAGTAACTTGTTAGAATGTTGTGATGTACGTGAATTGAATTGAAATAGAATTTTGAGATTATTTATTATCCTCCTGTGATTTGACTAACTGACTGGCTGACTTGTGGTAATAATATCTTCCATGCATATTTCTGATATTTGCATTGAGTCATTTCTGTTGTATGTGTTGTGTTGGGTGTAGACTCAATGAACCAGTCAGGATTCAGTAATCAACCTCTCTTTCCACCTACCTAGACTGCTTTTTAGAATCTTAACCCTCTCCCACCATGCTGTTGTGTGTTAATGCATGTAGTGCAATCGCTGAGCTTTTTTTCTAAATTACTTATCTTCTCGGGTGGGTTCAACGATTCTTACCTTAGCTAAATTCTTATGTTTCGAAACGTCATCAGTTAATATTACTGTGTAACACTGAGTGATTTATCAAAATAAAATCTTATCCACAATGGAATTCTACTCTACCACAGTGGCCAAGTTTTATACTTATATCAATTAGATCTCTGATAAATCAATACTTGATAATAATAATAATATATTTGATGATATTAGATGGTTGGAGGCAATCGGCCTCAGAAAGCCTTGCTTGACCTAGGTTTTGGTGCTAGTTGACACTCATCAGCAAGGCGTATCTGCAACCTTGAAGGAATTTATGTCCCCTCTGAGATTCGAATCCGCGTCACCCAGCGAGCCCTGCAGTCAGAGACGTTACCACTGAGCCAACTATTCGAGCTCGCGATTGACGTCCTGTAGGACTGTAGTGGGTATTTCGATTCAACACTAGTAACTAGTTTGACGTGTCTAGTCCTTTCTTTGGTGCAGACTGAATTCTATCAGTCAGGTTTGTAATGTGGCCGCCATTCTAGGTAGTCCACCATCACAGTGCACATTGATTTGATGATATTAGATGGTTGATGGCAATCGGAAATCAAAATATCCACTACATTCCTCACAGATGGTCAATCACGAGCTCGAATATCTCAATGGTAACGTCTCTGACTGCAGGGCTCGCTGGGTGACGCGGGTTCGAATCTCAGAAGGGACATGAGTTCCTTCAAGGTTGCAGATACGCTTCGCTGACTGACTGACTGATGAGTGCCAACTGGCACGAAACCTAGGTCAGGCAAGGCTTCCTGAGGCCGATTGCCTCCAAGCATCTAATATCGTCGCATCAATGTGCACCGTGATGGCGAGCTACCTAGACTGGTGGCCATATTACAAACCTGACTGATAGAATTCATTATGCACCAAAGAAAGGACTAGCCTGACACGTCACACACTAGTTACTAGTGTCCAATCAAAATAATAATATATTTCACTGCAAAATTAATATAATCAAAAACATTATGAGAGAAGAATGACAAAACAACCAAGCAAATAAATAATGTCAAAATGATAGAAAAAAATGTTACCTGGCTAGAGTTGATTTCCCACTGCCTGGAAGACCACGAAGTAATATCAAATACTTATTAGTCCATCCACAATTACTGGCTTCATATAGTACACTTTTTAAACGCATAATTTCTGAAGAATATGGATAGTCAATCTTTTTATCATCAGTATTTGTTGATTTTAGTAATCCTGTTGGTAGTAACGTTTGAAGTGTAGCTTTCATTTGTGTAGTAGCTTTGAATATTAGAATAAAAAAGAAGCGGGGAGCAGAGGTAAGAGCGGGAGGAAATGAACATCATTTTTAACAACTAGTTGGTTACTTTTGAAAACATAAACTCGATACATATAACATTAGGAGCAACCAAAAGACAAGCATCTGACACACCAAGTCCCATCGTTTGTACAAGGGATAGGACAATATACGCAGGATACGCAGACTGAAACAGGTGGTCATCTTACCCTCCTTAAGGAGCAGCTACCATCCCTCTCATGAGTCTTCACAACTTGAAGTCTAATCTACAAGGGAGTGGAGGCGGTTCCAGGAGCTAGGTTCATACACCATTCGATCCTTTGGAATTCTAGAGGCCATGTACACACCCACCGGATATATATTTGTAATCAGGTTTCCCAGTGCCTCTCTAGATATTATTACATAGACGACTATGTCCACCAATATGATTATAAGCCACTAGACATTGAGATTATCCCTATTACTTATGTCTAGAAAATTATTGCCTCTCATGTGCAGCCACATGAAAGCGTTTCGAGGAGAACATCAAAGTCTACCCCCACCCTTCAACCGTACCACGTCGTTTATGGGTGGAGGGGGGGAGAAGGGCACCTTTCAAGTTACTAAGTTAAGTAAAACATCAAATAAAGAAAGCCTACAAACTAACCACACACCCCCGCTTGTCACTTCGTTTTGTATCAATCGATTCAACAGCTCCCGTAGAATCAATAATATATATATATATATATATATATATATATATAAGAACCTAATTTATTCCTGCTCGGCAACACACACTAGTGTATGGCTAAATAAAAGTGTAACCACCAACAGTTCGACAGAGTGATTAGACCGCCTGTCTGTCTGCTTTCGACGTAGAACTTTCAACCGATGTGCAACACTTCAAGTCGCCACACTCCACTCCTTGCAGCATACAAACCAACAGAAGAAAGTAGAAGAAATAGCATAATAAATAGAAACGGTAAACAGAGGTGTGAGACAAAGGAATAGTAATGACGAAGAAAAATATAGTTTCATTGGAAATCATAAGTCACAAGGACTGGATGGCTCTGAGCCAGCCGTTGAGAACGATGGGTCTGAGCCATATCACCAATCGTTCCCAGCCGTTGGTTTTTACCGTCCGGAGGACCCCAACCAAACAGGAAGTCTACACCTCCCAATTGTCTGGCTGGCTGGCTTAAACTAACTGTTGTGGATTTCATTGACTGATGAGGCCGTGTTTTGGTTTGACCACCACGTGCTAGCTCTTTTCCAGCCTGACCCTATGTCAGCCAGTTAACATTGCCCATTGTCGAGGAAGGCGATGACTAGGCCACCAGGTGTAACACGTGTCCTAACTATCTTAGTCGACGTAATTTCACAGCCTCGTCGATTGATTTCCCCTAGTTACATAACACTCAACAGATGCCTAATTTCAATATTGGTCACCTTATTATACCACCAAACACACACGGGAGATAGAACGCAGGCACCTATGATCGAGGACAGCTAATATTTTCATGTCTTCCACTCTCAATGGCCAGGTCTCGCTCACAACCATAAAGGAGAACGGAGCGGACTGATGAGCAGCACACACGCCCTTCGGTCGATAGCCACTCGGATATCACGTCTACGCCAGAGACGGCATCAACTGGCATATGCGAAACTAGCCCTCTGTATCCGTACTCAGCTGAGATTTCCTCAGAGATCAATCCGTTGGGGTTGGCTGATGTTACTCCCCAAATCACCATCATTTTCAAACCACACGATATCTGGCTAGCCACTTGGATAAACTGGTATTACCTTAAATTAGGATTGGCAGTTGGTGATTTAGGCATGAATCGCGCGCCACTAATAACACTGGTTAATGTGTACGCCGAAATCACAAGCTAGAAGAAGTTGAAATTCATGAGCTGGCTATTAAGTCACCTCCCAATGTGACTGACTGACTGGTCTACGGACTTTCCTTGTGTAACCGGACACCTTGGCGGTGGGGGGCGTACTCCCGACGAGTCATAAACTAGGACGAAACAGATATCTGGTAATACTCCCCCTGGATGGTTCAATCGTTCTCCCAAAATGATAACAATCCGCGATCAAACTCTTGAAAATTAAAAGTGCAGAATTTGAGCACTTTACTGTAGAAATACAGTTCAATATCAGATGAGTTCATTTGATAGACAGCACATAGAGTGATACAGTATATATTATAAAATGTATGATGTTTTGAGCACAATTTATATTGATGCTCACATAATTACCTCATATATCAATGTATTCACACTTCATAATTATAACTTTCTGTAAAAAATCAATCAATCAATCTGACTCCCTGCTGTTTCTTTATATTGCAGCTTCCCATGTTACCCTTAGACATGTGTGTCGCTTCATTTCATTTGCACATGTGTTTGGTGCTGATACAATGAACAAAGATTTTGTGATGAACCTCGGCCCTCACTCCACCTATTTACATTGCTTTTTAATAATTCATTCACTTTCTGAGTGGAACATGCGGATTCGTTACCTGTAGTTTTATTTTTGCGGGGTGGGGCTACTTGTCCCCTTCTTGCCTTTTTCTTTACCGGTTAAGCGAGATTTAGACAAGTGTGTCGGCCAGGGACCGAAACCTAAACGATGTGTGCGTGTGTGTGTGGTTGGCGAGTGTCCGTCCTACCGCGTTAACCACCGCGACGCACAACCCTATCCTATCCTATTTTGTGAATGTACTTCAACGGCATTTCACAGGGCCAATAATTCTACGGCTGGCTAAATTCTTGGGTTCCATTAATCTAATTCTTCTATACGTATCAAGAAACTTGGAGGGCCGGTCACAAAGAATATTTCCAACATCCCTGTTGCAGACCAGACCTTTATCAACAACAACTGTCTTCGCTGGCTCTATACTAAAGATCAGATGGCCGGGCCGGGCAGGAGAGAATCACCAACTATGGGAACAAACAAACAAAACAAGAAACAATCGCCCAACCAACAAATATGCAGGAGAAAGTAGAGATGGACACTCGCTGAGGAAGCCACTGGGTGACATCGGGCGCGCGTCAGGCCATTCCTCGAGTGGAACCAGGCCGAAAGGGAAGCGGCGGCGAGTGGGACGTCAATCCAAGGGTGACATGGAGGAGATCGTGTGAAGAGGAGGAGGAGTTGAAATAGTCAGTATGGACTAAGATGGATGGAGGTGAAAGGTACAGCAGAAGGAAGACAGAAGTGGCAAGTGGAGACGTGCCGGTGAAGCCCTATGTTCCGCTAGGAAGCCAAGGGAACAATAATAATCATCTAATTGACTCCAAATCTACTATACTTTTTTTTAGTTGGATTTATCGATTCCCTAAACTGACATAACATATCTCTGAATGAGTTGGATTCACATGACAATACACCTATTTGATTAGGTGTAATTATACTCACATTCCAGCTTCTTACCAGACTAGAACTTAATATAAAACATCATCCTGTGGGGAGAGAAAACTGAGCTAATATGAGAATGAGTAACCAAGAAGAGTATGTGTATGTATAAGTGGAAGCTGACAAACAGACTTCGGATAAGCCAGCTATGTACCTATCGGATACAAAAGGCTTGTGTGTAAGGCGCTTGTTACTTTAATTTGCATCATCTCTCTGGTGTGTTGACATAATATCCAGCTCACAAACAAAAGAACGTTTCAACTACAGGCGGAACTGACGAAGATATCAAAGCAGCGAGGATCGGAAAAGCAAGACAAGCTTTCATTACTCTCAAAGTCTGTGTGCAGGAGGTCAACAGCACCACTCAACATGAGAATGAAAACAAGATCCGGATTTTCACCTCCAATGTGAAGTCAGTCAGTGGTACTCACTATACGGATCAGAGACTTGCACTGAACGTCATAAAGAGCACCTCAAACAAACTACAGACCTTCATCAACCGCTAGCTGTCTTCGCTCAATACTCAAGATCAGATGGCCGGTTAGAAAAGACCAGCCACATGAAGGGATCTCTGGCAATGAGCGAACCAACACAACAGGAACCGATGGTGTAACAAATAAGCAGGAAGAAATGGAGGTGGATTGGATTGGTCATATTCTGAGAAAACAAGCCATCAAGTGACATCACTAGACAAGCCATTGCTCGAGTGGAATCCGAAAGGGAAGCGGCGAGTTAGTTGGCTGTCAGTGCTAGGGTGACTTGGAGTAGGTCATGTGAAGAGGAGATGAAAGCGTATGGGTAGACTTGGAACCAGATGAAAACTCTAGCAGAGAACCGAACGCAATGGAGACGCGCGGCTGAGGCCCTATGCTCCTCTAGGAATTAAATGAAATAATAATATACAGCAGTTTACTCTGTCTTCTACGTGTAGCTGTAAAGCTGTGTTCATTGAAAGTGAAGGACACATGTATATAATAAGGCTAGTTGTCTTGCACCACAGACATTGGCATTCTAACTCGCCCGTTGTTAGTTAGACAGCAATATATATGATGAGTAATACCGAAAGGGGTTAGACGTAGAAAAGTGAGTGTTGGGTCAGGTCAATAGGGGAGTTACAATTGATGAATGAGGTTATGAAACCACATACTGATTAAGACGGCTAAGAACAGATGTTCTGTGTCGAGTTTAGCTTGCCATTCTCAACCTCAAGTGCTACAACACTTCTGTGCAATGTTCTACTCTGAAACTCAGTCACTTCCGTGAGTCACATGAAAAAATTCAATCGATTGAAGGCTTCAAATATAACTTAAGTGAACTTCATCATTAAGAAGAAAGCTTGGCGTATTCAGTTGAAAATCCAGTCCATCAAATGACACAACTTTATCAAAATAAAAAAGATATCTTGATTTTTTTTGGCTAACTTTGATTATAACATACTCTTTCTGAATGTATGAATGTACACAAGGAGTATGCATGACCTGTATATTTCTAATATCTATCAAAAGGTATACGATGAATATGCATTCCACTTAGACAGGTGGGAGGGATGGATGAAAGTATATGCTGAGAGCCTT